AAAGAATAACATTTGCTGATAGCTGGCGAACACTAATCATTGTCTAAACACATGTCTCTCAAAGATAAATTAGTTTTGAATGTCGCTGATTAATGCAATACAAAGCAATCTATGGTATATTCGATATCAACGACACTCCTCAAATACTTGGAAACGAACCCATTTGAAAGCATGTTACCTGCCGGGTTATATTATATTATACCGGATTTGTTAGTTTCATCTTTCACTATATCTGCTTTTCCGGAACAAATATCACATTTGTATAAAAGTGGCGCTTCCGACACAAAAAAGGCGCAAGCTTTTAAATCGTAAAAAAAGGCCGTTGAAGACATTCCTGAGGCGCCAACTGAAAACCCAATATCTTCTTTTAGATCATAAGAAGCTTTTATCGGTTCGGCTAATAAACAGTATTATTTGATTCGGAAAAATCTAACGAAACGTGTAACAAATACATCATAAAGAGAAACCGAAAAAAATATGTAATTCTTTTACGAACTTCAGCGAGATAAACAACTCCCTTTGTTAGTTTTAAAGAAAATAAAGCTTAAGAAAACCTAATTATGGACTCAGACAAAGGTCTGCTCATTTCCTTAAGATTGATCAATATTAATTTTTCATGTTTAAACTAGATCACACGATAACAGCCCGCACTTAAACAAACGATTTTTCACTTTGATCAAATTCAAGCCGAGCTTACAGGAAACATCTCCCTTTAATTAAAATCACAAATGAGCTAAGGAAGTAATTTTGGTCTAAACTCTTGATCGCTCAGTCAGTCTTCGCGCTTTGTGACACCCCATGCAGGCTCGGAATGTACCGCAACTTAAAATACTTGTTAACAGCTCCGCTGTATGTACGCTCAGTAGAAAAGGATTCCGACACAACGGGAGTTTACGTGACTACAGTGGCTTAGTTAACTTCATTCTGCAAGTAATTGAATCAACGCAGATTAGTAGCGGTTTTTTGGTCGGAAATGGCACGTTTACACACATGTTTGCTTTGCAAGTTTTAGGAGATGAAGGGAGGGGGAAGCGCTTAATCTCTCGCAGCCTGGTAATAAAGAGATCGTGACGGGCGGGGTCAAGAGCATGGCTCTCACAACACGCTTCTTTGTGGTATACCACAATAACCTCATACCAAAATCTCGGTCTGTTTCGTACCTTATTTCATAACATGTGGTTTGTTTGTACATACATGGCGTACATAAGGGTTGAAGATTTGCATGGGCTGGGAGCTAGTTTTTATTCTATTTATATTATCGTTGTTAATGCTGCTTTTATTGAACGTAACAATTGCATTTACCTAGAGAATTCCAACATTCAGTCTCGTGGCCTCTTTTATAAAGGACAGACTAAGGAAAAAATTTTTTATGAAAAAGTGAGTTTTGTAAATACCTCAGAGTAACACATAGAATTGGTAAAAAAAAAAAAAAAAAAAAAAGGATTTTCCTTCTTCCACTAGAATTTTTTATTTCGCCTTCAAACACATGATTTGCTAAAAATTCCTTCAGGCACTGCATTGTAAACAAATTAAACTTTTCAGGCAACCATGTGAAGGTAGAAAAGAGGTTGTATTTTTTTCTCCTTATTTTAGTCCATGTGTTCAGGATAGAGGGTAAAACTGAACGAAAGATTGTCAAGTACGGGGCGTAATGACTTACACTTTCAATGAACAGTTCTCAAGGAGGGTGTGGTGTCAGTCTCTGCTCCTGATCATGTGCCCCAGAAATGTCATTATTTATGGGTTATTAAGGTTCTACTGCTTATTCCATTCTGGTTAAGCTCTTCATCTGAACGACAGCAAGAAGAAAAAATCCTGACAACATCAACACTAAAAAGGTTTTGTCCTCCGCTCTCTAATTTACAGTGCTCCTGATTCTAAAAAATTTTTTAAAAAAATCAGCATTTATCATTCAGATACGGAATTTTTGGATGTTTTCTTTATCAGTGTCGTAAACAAGAGAACCAGAAACGTAACCGTTCGCAAAACAACTTCCTATAGAATGATCGGTCTCGAATGCCATGCTAGGACCTCGACTGTGCAAAATTTATTTGTAAATTAATTTTCAATTGGAAGGCTTAAGTTATTCTGAACAGCTCTTATTTGGTTTAATTTTCTTTGAGATCGAAGCAGTTTACTTGGACTAATTTTCAGTTCTCCTTGGTTTGATCAGTCTATGGATCAACCATAGGGCGAGGCACTAAAGACACACAAGACACCTACTTTCCGGTAGCTGTGAAACAATCGTGGGCATTAATTCTAGTCGGTGATTCACAAAATCAAAGAAATTTATCTCTTTATCTATCTATCAATGCTAGCATCAGCACGTGAAATCCCCGCAAAAACGGATCTGATGACAGGTACGCATAAGTGCAAGCATCAGTAAAGGTCCTTTACTGCTGATTGTTACTGCTAAGGCGAGCGTACCCACAAAAATCCAGATTATGCACAAGCCCAACCTTGACATGCCTGACCGCAAGCTGAGGAAAACTTGAAATTTTTCTTCTCCGTTTTGAGACGCACAAAACAATTTCGTTTGGGTTTTCTGCGCTTTGTTTAAGTTCCTACAAGATAGGGTTTTAAGTTGCAGAATAACCCAAAAACCCTCTTTGAAATCAATATTCCTATGCAAGTGATTGGTAGCGTCGTAATATTTTTCCTGGCTATTGATAAGAATCTGCGTCATGTCTCTCAGTCATGGTTTTCAAATTTTACGTTCAAATGTCTCAAAAGTGAGCTTCTGCAAAAGATCCTCGTGCGTCCAACAGTGTGACCTCTTATTGCTTCTTCTGATTCCGGGGTGCGTTTCACATCAGCATGCATAAGAACAAGAAACCTATGTGCAAATGGGTGTGGCTTACGCACAGGAATCGGGGTTACCATCATTTTAGAGTCCAGTACTCATTTCTGTGATAATAACCACCAGCTGAAACGCAAATGTTGGCTCTGCTAGTCTGCCCACATGTTAAAGCGCACGCATAAGCCTAGGAACTTATTTGTATACTGGTAAAACGCAAGCTTTTGCTCCTCGTAGTAACATACTTGTAAACCAAACTTAAATCCTTAAACTCCCACAAATGATTACAAACTTATTTTTCCTAATTTTGAGTTCTCCTTGGTTTGATCAGTCTATTGATCAACCATAGGGTGAGGCACTAAAGACGTTTAAATAACGGACCCAGTGAGTAATAAAACAATAGACGCACAGTATCTCTCAATAGGGTACATCATGCTATCAAGTTGGTGACGCCGGAATGGAGAAACAAGTCTACTGATCAACCATAGGGCGAGGCACTAAAGACGCACAAGATACCTACTTGCCCATACCTGTGAAACAATCGTACCCCAAGCTGGGGAAAACTTGACATTTTTCTTCTCCGTTTTGAATTATTTCACAACCTACACGTTTTCCTTAAAAGGTTTCTTAGACGTTGGAGATGGAAAATATATGAAAAGTCTCCGTCTGTTTTAAATATGACACGGCAGTGTCGAGAAGAGGAGACTTGTGGAACGAGATTTGTTCCCGTTGAGAGACTTAACCAGGATAATTCTCAACTAAAGAAATTGGTTGGACGCTAGTTAGAGAGGTCCACGCTCGAGATTGGGCAGGGCCATCGTGTTGTGTTCAATTTATTCTCAGAGTGCCTTTCCCTATCCACCCTGGTGTAAGAATGACTGGCAGCCAACTGGAAGAAAAACCTGACGAAATGCTGGGATGTAAAATGCTATAGACCATCATCTCATCCAGGGGGAGTAACAATACCCACGGCCGCTTCATGCTACGGAAAGTAGGATAGGCTCCAGCCAGGTAAGCCACTTGGCCCCATTACGTACCCTCCCATTTTACAGAGGGGTACGTGTAGAATGCTGCAGTTATTTGTCAAGTATTTGTTTACACGGTTTTACACGAAAGTGGTATGTTCTTCAACCGTTCCTCAACGAACCTATTGCAGGGCGTCGTTGAAGAAAACAATGGGCCGGTTATTTACACAGGGTCTAACCCAAACTGAGGTTTTAGGCAAACAGTGGGTTTTACGTATTCTCTACAAGAGGGTTGCTGTCATTAAATAAATACTGTTCCACTGCTAGCGTTCGGCCCTCTTGGCGCTGTTCTCAAAAATAAATGTTTTGATGAAAGATTCGGCTAATTTCAAGAAAGTTTAGAACGTGGTTTGTTGAAAAACGGCTAAACTTTGTTAAAATAACGGGTCCAGTGAGTAATAAAACTATAGACGCACAGTATCTCTCAATAGGGTAAATCATGCCATCAAGTTGGTGACGCCGGAATGGAGAAACAAGTTGGAGGTAGGTAAACAGCATAAGAGAGATGGTAAGTTTTGAGCTTGGTAAAGAAAAGGAGAAAGATGTTTTTCGTCTTGTCACGAGCGTGGGACAAATAACAAATTCTGAGTCCCCATGAGGAATCGAATCTCAGATCTTCAGATTCCGCGCTCCAATCCTCTACCACTGAGCCACAGAGACTCCGCAGTGAGCGAAGTTTATGACGAATGCTGTTAGGATCAGCAATGTAGATAGCGTCATGTTTGTAAATAGAATAAGAGATATGGTAAGTTTTGAGCTCGGTAAAGAAATAAAGAAAGATGTTTTTCGTCTTGTCACGAGCGTGGGACACGAAGAAGTGGGAGGTAGTTTGCGATCCATGCCGATAGTGCCTTGATTCAAGAATTAATCCCAATTCTTGTCTAGTTTTTCATTTTCAGTTGCAAAGTATTTAACATTATTGGGACCCTGAGCCATTTGAATCCGTCACAACATCATGATTACAATACACTATAATTACAACAAAAAATACAACCCTCGTCAAGTTTGATTGAAACACGCCAGTTCCTCCAAAAGGTTAATTTTTTTTCAGGAGGTCCAATCTTCTGTTACCAACAATGACAAACGAAAAAGGAGGAAATGTTTAAACAATTGTGACGAGGATTGTAACTTTGCAAGTAGATGTAAGCACAGATCCATAGAATTCTAGTTGGAAATTCCATTGATTACTGTACAGAAAATCTGATTTGTTTCTTTAACCACAAAAAATCAACCAGACTTTTTTCTGGCTAATTCGTCAATTAAATCTTGTAATGAAAACGTCATCGAGACTATTACTTAAAAGAAACCACGCATTTCCAATACAAGCAAACTTTCCCGTGAATAGCCACGACAAGGTATCTGAAATCCATAAATTGCAAATAACAAAGTTTCCCTGATTTACCGCAGTTACAATACTGTGAGGGAATTCTATTTACAATGGGGTCACCTTAATGATGAACTGTTATCAACAAGGAAAGACTAACATTTCCGTCGTTTACTACTCGTTCAAGAATGCCGCTCGTTCTTATTCCCCCTTGTTCTTGTTCTTCTTCTTCTGTTTTTTCCCTTTCTTTTTCTTCTTTTTTTCTTTTTTTCCTTTTCCAAAGACAATTGACTTTAGAGTTGACCTGTTCTCCCACAGTGCCTTTGATCCCTTTTTCCTGCACCTTTGAAACACCAAAGTAAATCATTTTAAATTTACCAGTCTACCAGTAAACGAAGTCTTATTTTAATTTGGTTTAAAAATCGCACTTACAACCCCATGTCTTTATCCTTCACCAATTTATCCGATAGATTGGTTGAAAAGATGGGACAAGAATTCCCCTACCAAAAAAAATAATAAACCACTTCTAAAAAAAGGAGATCTCTCTGCGACAAAATTTGCCGATGTTGATAACCTACGAAGAATTCGCTCCTAGAACAACTTTAAGGATTTAACCCTTTCATTACTGCTTAACATTTGCTAACCACAATTTGCTCTTTTTAATGTGGCTAAATCAAAGTAATGCTCATAGAACAGAACTACAAAAGGGAATGCGCCCAAAACGCGCCATCACCTGTTTTTCGTACGTGCTTGAATTTGACACCGTTTCATACTTGACAAGAATTAGCGTGATTAGAGAAATAATATTCTCACTTCAAGTTGTTACAACATGATCTATTAAATGGACGTATGTTAGTCTACGATGGTTGGGCAAAGGTATCCAGACACTGAGAAAGCGTCTGTTTTGTTAAAAAAAAATTGGAGCAATAATCATCGAAAACGGTTTCTTTTCGCTTTTTTATGTAGTTGCACCAACCCTTTCAGTGTTGCATTTCTTTTTAATTCCATAAAAATGAGTAAGACACTAAATGGTTCCCTGAAAACCTAGACACAGGCAAACGAAGTGCAACCCCCGCTCGCGATAACTATAAGGCAGCCACAAGTCATTTTTTGGGGTAACAGGTGACAGTTTCTCGGTCTGTCTTATCTGTTCATCCTTTAACTTCCATGAGTGATCAAGACAGAATTTCTCCTTACAATACAATATCAAGCAGACAACTGATGAGAATAAAGATAAATACTAATTAGGGGGATTATTAGTTGATCCAATACCAAATTCTCCAAACTAACATCGCAAGAACTATATGGCAGACAGTAAGGAGAATTACCAATGAGATCTTGGGAGCTAAAGGGTTAAATAGTGGTTGGTTGGTTTTCCTTTTCGGTTTTGAATCACGAATGTTTCTCACGCAAAGTTGACCACGTTATAGGAACACTTCAAACACGGCGCTTGAGGACGATTCTATGGCTATGGACAATTATTTAAATAAAAAATTAATCAGTCATGGGTTTTGACCTAAAATTATTATCTTATAATAGAACAAATCAAAAAGAAAATTAGATTTAGTGTTCTAATTATTGAGCAAATATCAAAGCAAATCAAAATAAAAAAGGGACATAATTCTGTCAAATTTTCAATGAAATCATAATCATGAAATCCGCCAGAATTTTGAAACACGACCTTCTAAAAATGCCTCGAAGATCTTTTACACTTGCGGATTGTGTATTTCTCTTTTAAATGTGTTAAGAATTGACTTCTGATGGTTAAATTTTAGTCCAAGCATTTTAAGCATTTTTTTTTGTTAACAAACTCTCAAACCCACCAAAAATCTGTAATTTTCTAAAAAATTCTACCGAAAAATCATCTCGTCTTGGTTGAATACAGAGTACGTATTTCTTTTTAACGCAACCACAGTTTATAAAAACAATGGTTTCATTCTGCATGACGTAAAACTATCAAATATTCACAGAAGAAAAAACGAAATCTTCATTTCAGATACTGACGTAAAACTTATCACATAATATTTTCATTCCAAAATTAGCAGGTTCGTTGTTTTGCTAAAAACTAACCAGGGCGAAATATTTCAATATTGTAAGATAATTGATAAATTTTTTTTTTATCGACATGTTCTCGCCGATTGGAAACCGACAAACGAGACAACTTGGCTGTTCGCGTTTTCCTTGCAATGCTTCCCCAACACATACATAATATTTAGAACTACGGTTAAAAGAACGGCAACTGGCAAAGATCTGAACTTTCTCGTCTACTTTTTGACCACTTGGTCATGCATTCAGGTAAAAATGACTGCCTTTGCTGCGAAGATTACATTGTTTGCTTTTTCTGTGTTGGACCTATCAATTTTAGCATGAATGGTAACTCAAGCAGAATCAAAGCCAAATTTTGTAAAGTTCGAATTTGCAGTAAAGGTGCTTCCTTGGTAGCCATTAGAAACTAGATATTTTTGCCTAGTATTGGAAAATATATTTATTTACACAGTACATTGGGTAAAGATAAGCTTTTACGACAATCTTGGTTTAAAATATCCATGTGTCAAAGCTTAGATATACGATAATCAAAACATCACAAATTTCTCCACGTTCACAGTGATTTATTCATGTCACAATAGCTACTTACTTTGAACACAGTGATTGTTCCATGTCCTGTTTCTTCTTCGGATTCAACTTTGTAGCACAAATTCTGCACCGACGACTTTCCGTCTGACCCATCCTGGCAGTTCACAGCAAAAAAAATCGACTCACCGTTGCCGGAGATTTAAATTGTAAATTTATCCCTCAATCGAACCGAGACAAACTTTCGCGACAACTATTTCTTTTTACGGTCGTCTGTAGAGTCGACAAATTGTCACAGCAAGCTCTATAACCTTCCTTTTCAAGCAATGGTGAAACGCAATAGTCGCCCAATAAACTCTCGGCTGAATGACACGACAAACAGCCAGAAGTGTTATGCTTCGATCGCAGTTGTTTTCTGTCTTGAATGTAATTATCATGATCTTCGTCACAGCTTTTGATTCGCTAACGATTAAGCTAAAATTTCATGAGAAATCCCTTTGCCTAAACAGCTTTGGGGGAAGGAGGTTATTTTCATCCTCAAATGTCACTCGAAAATTCCGAAATTGTGTCAATTTTCTAAAATATGTTTCCTTTTATTTCTCAGTTTAAATATTTTCGTCTCGTTTCACAGTCTTCGGTTTTTACTGTGCATTATTTAACAGATGGAGAAGGTTTTCGACGATAGAATCTTAAAATGTGACAATAAGGCATAACCATAGAATACATGACACTTTTAATTACTGAGGAGAATTAAAAAAGCTTTCTTTTAAAAAGAAAAGTTAGGTCCATATTCATCAGCCAGATGACCTATTCTGCTGGAGCTTAACCCGGTCTCAACATGAAGTAGCTGTATTACCCCTTACACGGGATGCCATTGCGTCGCAGTGTAACACCCCAAGATTTCGTCACGCTTCCCAGACAATTCGCTCCGTACCCAGGCCATTTACACTCCTGGATGGAGCGAGGCTCTGTGAGTACAGTGTCTTGCCAAAGAACACTGCACAGTGGGCCGACCAGGGCTTGAACCTGTAAATTTCCATCAGGGGTACAGTTCGGTTACAAGTGAATCACCTTTTCTTGCATTTCCTTTGTGTACGAATCATTTAATGCAAATATCACTTTGTTACATGAAGTAGTAATCAGATAGATACCCTGACTTGACCACAAACACATTGACACAAAAAAAGTAAAACCGCCTTCAGGGAAATTTGGTTTTATCAACTAAGTTGATAATGTAAATTGGCCACCATAAAGAATTTCTAAAGCTGACATTTCGACCGTTAGCTCCTCGTCAGAGCGTCACATTCACTCTGACGAAGAGAGTTTTCTGATTGTTTATCGTAGGAAACCGACGCTTTTTCTCAGAATCATGACCACCGTTACCACTGTCCTAAATTTGATTAATAAATATATATGCAAAAGGCTTCTATATTTGCGTGAACGGGGGGGCTTAGTAAACCTTGTTTGAGCCAACTTTTAAATGGTCAACATCTGACATAATCATCTTCTATTGGCAATCTGATTACGAGGAACTGAAAATCGAGTAATGTTCCTCGGCAAATTTCTCTTCATAAATCCGTGTTGCCTTCTTAAAGTAGTCTAATGATAAAAAAAAAAGCAAAAAACGAAAGAAACGAAAATTTTTGATAACATTATCTTAATATCCTTGTAAGTCATATTCTGTTTACCACAGCTAGTTAATGAAAATCTTAATTCAGTGGTCAGTGAGCTATTTCTTAAATACCAGAATTTTATTACGTGAAATTCACTGTTTATCCTTGACTATATGTAAGATGCAATTATGTTAATAATCTTTTGTGAACGTCAACGCGGCGGGAAGATTTGAGGAAATTTAATAACATTCATAAAGGAATAATGGACAACATCTGATTTTCTCGAACCCCGAATTGTTCTTTTTGTTAAATGGTATTTGTTTATCATGATGTCGAATGATGCCATAGACAAGAACTTTTGCTAATTTGATTTTTTAAGCAAACTCGTCATGGTTTTTGCTCCATAATCTGTTCATTTAGTGATGGAAATAGAACAAACCATGCAGAAACTCACGTTTTTCTGAAAAAGACAAATAAAGACACATAGCGGAAAGATAAAAATTTGAATATCGAATGAAAATTCATTTTGTTTTAGTTATTTTTCAATTATTCAATTAACACATGTACAAAAAATTAAAACTGCCTTCCTCTAAATTGTATTATCGTTCCAATATGTTCGATTAAAATCTTTTTGCAGCAAAACTTTACAATCCATTGAAAATTTCATTAAATATGCAATTTATTTAGAGTGAACTCTTATCTTTCAGTTAAACTGTTGACCGTGTCGTTCATTGTCATCTCTGAATAAATAGATGATGTAAAAAGACATATCTGAAATTTTTTTTCATTTCTTTTTAAGTCTTATCGGAAGAGGTCATCGCAACAACCAGTAAAACTTTTCATCATTTTCACGAAGTAGTGAGGCTAACGACAGCGCCCTTTACCATGGAAAATGTAACCAAGGACAGTGGAATGTACGAGATAGTGCAGTCCGTGACTTGTGCTGCCCCCACACAAGGAAACCAATACTTGTTTGTACTGACAGCTATAAACATTCTACTCGCCATTACAGCCGCTTTGGGTAATATTTTGGTCTTTTTTGCTCTGAGGAGAATTTCATCTCTTCAGCCCGCATCCAGAATCCTGTTACGAAGTCTGATTATTAGTGATTTTTGTGTTGGTGTTTGTGTTCAACCTTTGTACGCCATTCAGTTGTTGTCGATGGCACAGCAACGATTGCAACTTTGCTACGCACTTGTAAGCATTAATGAAATCGTTGGGACAACTCTTAGCGGAGTGTCGTTGTGTACTTTAACTGCTATAAGTTTGGACAGACTTCTTGCTCTTTGTATGGGATTAAGTTACAAGCATGTCATAACATTGAGGCGAACACGCAGAATGATCATAATCCTTTGGTTTTTCAACATTTTGTTCTCCAATCTGAGACGGTTTTGGAGGTACGTTTTAATTTCCAATGTGATGTCTTCTTTAATATACTGCACTTTATCCATCTCTGCTTTATCTTACTTAACCATTTACTTAAAACTACGCAAACATCGTGAGCAGGTGCAACGGAGTGTGCATCAACGCCAACCGAACGAACAAGGAAGAGCTTTCAACATTTCCAAATACAGAAAAACTGTATACACAGCGCTGTGCGTACAACTTGCCCTTGTGGTGTGTTACTTTCCTTATGGAATAGTTGTCGCTTTGGCACACACGCGAGGTTACAACTCATCGTATAATTTTACTGTTCGTCTAACAATTTCTCTTGTGTTGCTTAATTCATCATTGAATCCCATTCTGTATTGCTGGAGAATACATGGAGTAAAACAAGTAGTAAAAGCCATGATTAGAAGCCTAGGACTTTTATTCAACTAGAATGCGCACTGGGCTTTTGCAATCGTTATGATGTCTGAGTATCTTATCCTTTCAAAACCTTGCTTCCAGCAGCAGTAGGTAAAAGTGTGAAATATGTTTTGCATTAGTCGATTTCCACAAACTTTCACCTTCGAACTGCATTCTCCAGAGAGAAACATGAGATTATGACGCAAGTCTTTTGACTACACCTTTTCAACTTAATTTGAGCGATGCGTCCGCCATTAAAAAACTCCCGCATTTAAAGAGAAAGTTGGAAAAGGAGTTCGCTGTATTCTATGGTGGATATACAACACGCTTGTAACATAAAACTGACTGGACAAAAATAAATCACAATACAATGAATATTTTGGGCCGGTTATTTACACGAAATTTTACCCAAACCACGGTTTTACGCATTCAGTGGGCCTCAGGCTTTCATTAAAAGAGGGTTGATCTAATAAAAATAAATGTCTTACCATTGTTAGCTTTTGGCCTTTTTGACACTGTTCACTAATATAAAAGTTTAGATTAAAGGTTCAGCTAAATCGAGGATTGTTTAGGAAGCGGTTTTGTTAATAGCGGTTAGAGTATGTTTAAATAACCGGCCCTTGGTTTCTTTGCAGTGGTGTAAAACCTGACATAAGCGAACTACTAGTCTCTTAATTTAAACACTGCGTCTAAAGATTTTAGTGCTGTACAAAGCTACACTTGTAATCATATGTTTAGATTGGTGCTTTGAGAAATATAAGTTTCTTTTTATCGTTTGAGCCTCTTGAAGTCCAGTATTCACTTCCTAGTTTTGGCACTTCTATGTCAGATTATGCAAGTTTTCTCCTGGAAAGTTGTTATCATAATTCTGCCGATGGAAATTTTCTCTAAAAACAAATATTCCATTAAAGCACCTGCGTGCCTAAAACGCAAGGAAAATGCCGTCGGCCATCATCAGCAATGTCGCGTGTGCGTATACGTACGTCTTGAGGACAACCTTTAAATGACAAGAGGACATTTACACCTTTTTGTGGATAATATAGTTTCCGAATTCGTGTAGAAAAGGTCAATTCTGCATCTTCCAGATTCCAAGCCAAAAGCCCTCTCTAACACCCAGGGATTTTATCTCGAATGTTGATGAAAGAAACAAACTTGTATCCACGAGCACACATACAATACCTATACACATATTCGTCACCTATTTAAATCGAAGACAATTTAAGAACTAAATGCGGAGACCACTTGTTCACATAAAAAGCTTATTTATCTCCTAAATATATGAAAATGAAACAAGTTCTTATTACGGAAAATATTTCCTGTCAAAAAGTAGTTGAGCTCAACCTCAGTAATGCTCGAAAATGAAAAATCCTCTTGAAAAGTAAAAGCGCACTGTTCATAAACCGGTCACCCTGATGACACTGTAATCTGGCCTCACGTGTGAAATTAGAAATCCGCGTGGTGAGGATGCCATGTTTTCGAAACGGGAAAATTCTGATATTTCCTCAACAATTAGGTGGAATTGTTATCAGTTCACTCATCTCATGTCTTTCTTCACATCAGGCAAACCCGTCGATTTTTTAAAACCTTTAATCATCCAAAAAAAAGGAAGTTTAAGTTGATCAACGTAAGGAAGAGGTAAACAGACATAAATGAAGGAAATGGAAAATCAATAATGTGTTCCTGTTATATTTTTCACCCCTTCAATATTACATATTTACATAAAAGAAAACTTGATTCCTAAAAGTTGCATTTTTTCCTGACAACGCCAAGTAATCTATTTCGCAGAAAAATGTCAATATCAGTTTAAAAATGTCTGTAATCAGTTGGATCAAAATTTCGCTGTTTAGCGGAAAATTTATTCAATTTGCAACCATGAGTTCAAGTGACAGCTCAGCTTCTGATTTGTACAATGTGTTATTCATTGCGACAGCTGGGTAAATCTGAGTTGAAAGAAGACTTTTTTTTTTTTAAACCCATCCTTTATTGCTAGAAAATAAGAAGAGTTGGAAAGGCAGTGAAAGAAATTTTCAAACTTGACTAGTTTGAATTCTTTCAGTTTCGATTACTAGCGCTCTTTGTGAAAACCGACTTATGACATCGTTTACAGAATAACTTGCCTCGAGTTCCGGATACAAAAGCAACTACTTATGATGTAAATTAAAGGTAAAATAAACTAACATAAAGAAAACGTACGTTTAATTTTCTGTCTCGGGATAGATTCATAAGTTCAGATCTATCTATCTCAACTCCTAAATGAGAGTGAAACAAGTTCTCATCTCGGAAAAAGTTTCCCTATCAAAAAATAACATGAATAGTGGAGTTTAACCACAATAATGTTCGTTAATGAAAAACACTCTTGAAAAGTAAAACTGCCTCGTTAATAAATCCAGTCACCCTGACGACACTGTTATCCGGCTTCACATGTCAGAGACGGAAAATTGAAATGCGCGCGATGAAGATATTATGTTTTCAAACCAGGAAAATTTTGGCATTCATCGATGATGGGAGTTATTTGTTCTCTCGTCTCTTGTCTTTCTTCTAGCTATGCAAATCCACTGAGTTGTTAACATCGATAGTCACCCAATAAGGATAAAATTTACGAATATTATATTTGCTTTTTTTTTCTGACAAAAAGCTGTATAATTTAGCTCAAAGAAGAATGTCAATTCCAGTTGTCAGACTATAATCAGTCTTAGCTATACTCTGTAAGAAATTTGGAGAAAAACTTGGTGGTATAGCGGAAATTTAATCAGTTTGCAACTATGAGTTAAAGAGACAGCTCATCTTTTCATTTAAATAATATTTTATTCGTTGCGACAGCTGTGTAAATGGGTGCTGTAAGAAGATGTGTTTTTTTTGGTTTGCAACTCATCCTTTATCGCTGAAAAATACAACGAGTTGGAGAGGCAGTGAAAGAAATTCAAAGACCCTAGAGTCATTATCCTAGTTCCGAAAAAAGAAGAAAAAAGAAATCAATTAAAACACCCCAACATGTCATATAAGTTCAACTATATCCTTTACCTAATCAAAGAATACCTATGGCCAACTCGTGCATAAAGTACTTGATCTAGAGATGAAACATGATTGGCAACTTGTAATTATTGGTCTTGCAGCAATACAAGGTTGCTCTTATTTCAGAGGCATAGGTTCTCGAAAAAAAAAGGAGAGATCTACAATTATGGTAAACATCCAACTCCGCAGAATAATTAACGTATATATAACCCGTGAAAACAGCAAAAAAAATAGTGTTCTGCGTTTATCGAATTTCCGTTTGCAAAATTCTTCAAATTTAGCCGTTGAAATCCAAATCTTTCTAAGTCTGCACAAGCCAAATTCCACTCTTTCCCAATTCTATGTACGCATGTCACGTTTCGCCTCACAGTAGCTCAATATGTATTTGCATTATAACGCAATGATCCTTATTTACACGGTTTTCTCCAGCTTTTATCTGATAAGTTTTCTGCCTCGGAACGAAAATACCCCAGAATACACTTCATGTGACGGCTAGTTCTTGCGACTGAGTGAAATTAAAGATATGCGGAAATTAATTCTACGGGTTTTCTTTTGATAGAAAAGCATAGGATTATTTTCGTCCGCTTCATATCGATCCAGCCGCCATTGTTTACCTTAGGTAAAAATCGATTAAGATTTTACGCCTTCCTATTGGCTAGCTTTGCAAGTTATTGCTCACGCAATGAAAAAGAAACCCGGCCGGATATTTACCGTGGTATGCCACAGACATCCCTCAGAACGATAGTTAACGATTATTGCATTGAGTCACGAGTGAGGTTGCCGTTGCTACGTTTGTTGAAACACTAGCTGAAGTGAGACAAGGGATTTAACCATTACTGGGTATGAGACCTGTAAGAGAGTGCAATCCGTGACTTGTGTTGCTTCCTCACTGGGAAATCAATTCTTGTTTTTGTTGAAATCTATAAACATTCTAATAGCCATTACAGCCGCTTTAGGAAATGCTATGGTCTTAGTTGCTCCATGGAAGATTTCTTAGGTTTAGGGTGCAACATCTAAAGCAGATATTGCATTTATCACGTCGAGTTCAAAGTCTGCCTAGTTTCCAAGCCCCTTGTCCGTATGGTGTTCTCAAACTTTTTAAAAGACCAGAGAGAAGTGTCTTTTTTTGCAGATTGTTTTAAAATGTATAATGGAACAATTATTGAGTTCGGTTTTCGTATGATATCATGAATTATCTAACCTTGTATCTGTGTCATTTGCCTCACCTTCGGGTTCTACAGATACCTTAGACCTCAGTTTGATAATTCATGGTATCACGATCAGCCTCATCCAATAATCACACAGCATTTGGAGAGCAACATGACAGACACTTTAAGATAATAAGAGCAAAATGAAAAAAAAAACAGTGAACAGACACAATTTGGTTTTCTGGGTTGGACTCAAGTAGCAGTGGTTAATTTGAGAGTGTTTAATTGACACGCACGCCGACGCATGAAAAAAAACTGCTTAATTGAACGGCATGTTGCTCACATCATATCTAAGAAATCCTACGCTCATTAAGTTTAAATATGTAAGAACGTTTTAAAGAAGGAATGACTCTACTCTTTCAACACTCTTGCGCGTGACGACTTCTTTAGCCAAGTCCCAAAGATGACTGAAAGGCAACGATCATCTAAATTAAAGAGTACTGATAGCCCGCTCAAGCAAATTTCAAGTTTAACCTGTGTAGGTTAATGCGATTGACCGACTGCTGCTAAGACACACCTGGCCTTTCAATACTCAAAACAAAGTACAAAATAAAATATGGAGAGATTTATCTGAGAAGAACAACATCCTTTCCCGATACGGCTGCGGTGTTGAAGTACGCTCTTTAATAGTTAAAGGGAGCAAGGCACTTTGGATCCATTTCGGCTCCATTGGTCGATACTAGTAATACTTGGCCGACAAGGTCGACAACGATAACCACCGACTTCTGTAATTATGGCTGCGGTTAACGAAAGATAAAGACCAAAAAACAATTTTAGCTCCAAAATATTTCAAACCCAAAGTCTCAAAAATTTTACTAATTTACCAACTTCTGCAGATCGTGATACGTGGTTTCGAGCAACTAATACAGCAGAGTCGCGGATTCCAGTCAATAAATCGTCGCCGAAGGGACATTAAGAAAAATTTCTGCGTGGGAAGACATGAGGTACATGTTCCTCTGGACATTGCTTAATTTCTATTGATACAAGCTGCCTTTGAAATAGTACAGATTAATTTTCTTCATGGACTTAACGATACTGATTCCAAGTCGTTTACTTAGAGAATGGACTTTTGTTGGATATCTATCCAAAAACGATTTTAGACCCAGTTTATATTAGTGACAGTTTAGCGGTAATCTCATTTAGAGTCACGTTTTATCGAAAGTTTTACATAACTTAAGGAATATCGGCACAGTAATAAGACAACAGGGGAATATTTGTGTGCTCTCACTGTTCTCTTCTTACGTCAACGAAAACGTCGAAAAATCTGTCACTTTCCATATACATAAAATGCAGTTATGTTCAAGTTTTACCTGATTTCCCTCGAGATGGTTTGCTCGAAAATTGGTGCTTTTCTTTTCTGAGGGGACAAATAAAACTGTGGGCGGACTAATCAAACAAATAATATGAGATAATGATATGGAAGAAGAAAAAACTTGACGAAGAAAAGTGAAGCAGCAGAATTAGAGACAATTAACAAAAACAAAGACATAAAAAGGAAATATCCGTGAGCAGGATGTAGTGAGGGTGGATCAAAACAAAAACGGAGAAGTGGGAAAAAGCTGTAAAGCATTGGCGAAGGAAACTTAACAGACGATTGGATCGAAATTGAAAAAAGTGCGCAGATCAAAATTTAACTTTTTTTTGTTTTATAAGAGCAAAAATATAAAGTTTTGGGAAAGTAATCCTAAAAACATATGGAAAAATAAGATGAATGAAAAAAAACAACATGGAGTGGAAACAATCAAAAGTTGGCAGGAGAAGCTGCACAAAAAAGAAAAACAAAACAAAAAAAACAACAGGGAAGAGCAGGCTGGCAGGTGGTATTCCAAATCTGCAAATCGGCTGCCTGACACGAGTAATTCTTTTCGTATGTAGTTTTGGAGTACTTAGACGTGTTCCCTTTAAACCCACTGGTGCTTTAAAAAAAACAGATTTTCATTGCCAACGACAGGGAGGAGCAGGCTGGCAGGTGGTATTCAAAATCTGCAAATCGGCTGCCTGACACGAGTAATTCTTTTCGTATGTAATTTTGGAGTACTTAGACGTGTTCCATTTAAACCCACTGGTGCTTTTGAAAAAACAGATTTTTATTGCCGAATGAAGAGCCTCTGTATGTCGTTATAAAAGAAAATAAAGAGTAACACTTTTAAAATGATTGGGTCAGTTTCTTGTTTGGTCGAGGAGGATTTTAATTAGATCAGGATTTGAGTGAATGGTTGAGGAAAACACATTTCCATATCAGCCAATCATTTACATCTATTTGAAAACCCTTAAAATCATTAAGAGGAATAAAAATGTACTTCCTTTGCTAGATTCTTCTTCTTTTCACACTCGTTCGGAAAACATTCTTGATGGCATCGAGCTCTTTTGTTTCTTCTACCTGACATCTAAGTAGGGGAAGAAACTTGCTACACAGTCAAACCGAGAGGTAACCGAATAGCGCAATTTCTTTAGAACTGCCTTAACTAACGGTAAAGAAACGATCGGAAAGGCCTCGTTCTCAATTTCTTCGCTCGAAACTCACAAAAGAGATCTGCAAAACGTTCTTTCTTGCATCATGAATCTAAATGATTCAGAAATTATCAACAACGCCAGCAAGAACTCGGTGTTTTCTTGTTGGTACTATCCAAGCTTTTCCTGGGAATTCGGCGAAACCACATTTCCTTGGGTAGTGTTTGGTATCACAGTTTTTTCCTCTCCCGTTATCGTCCTTCTGAACGTGCTAGAGATTGCAGCCGTATTAACGAGGAGACAATTACAAAGAGCGTCGACCCTTCTGCTGTGCAGTATGGCTGTTGTAGACGTACTAGTCGGTGTTGTAGCCATGCCACTTGCTGCGGCTGTTGATTTGTTAATTGCTCATCAGACCTTCCTTGACAATGTCTGCGTATTAGACTTCGTGGGTCTAACAGTGATGTATTGTGCATCTTGGACCACTTTGTCTCACCTGACAGTCATCGCTTGGGAAAGGTACGTGGCAATCGTAAAATGGAGGGAATACAAAGTAATGGTGACGCGACAACGCGTGAAGAAACTTACGATACTCGCTTGGCTGCCTGCTGTAATCGTAGCCACACGCTGCATCGTAACAGCTGCTGGTGTGGATGTCGAGGGATTTGAAAAATTAGCTATAATTCCGGGTATTTTCTGGGGAGCTGCCGTAATTCTTATCGTGTGTTTTTACACTAGGGCTTACTTAATATTACGAAAACGAAAAGTAGAAATGAGCCAAAATTGTCAAGTGAGCATTCTTGTTAGAGCGAAGCTGAACTCAAAAGTTGCCAAGACAACTGGTATTATTACTGGGACAATAATTTTTACGTTTCTGCTACCAGTAGCGGGTATGATTTTGGGACCCTATTTCGAGGCCATTCGGAAAGGCTCGGTCTTTCGATTGATTGAGACAGTCATGCAGTTAAACTCTCTAGCAAATCCATTAATATACTGCTACAGGGACCGCAGCTTTCAAAAAACCATTCTAGAGCTGCTACGATTTAAGAAACCAGAAGCCAATCAAGCCACTGGTGTCCTGAGATTTGTTAGACGAAAGAAACTGTTTCGTTCGCAAGAATATGAATTTGAGTACAAAATGAAAGAAAGAGATCCTAATCCTTTAAGAAAAACGGCATCCTTTCCTGATGTAGCTGTGGTTTTAGTCGATTTCGATCTCGTTTCGTTTAGTGGATCGAGATTGTCAAGACATATGTCAGCTCCATCCCTTGATGTAAGAGGTGCACGGCGTTGGGAAGGTGATCCACAAAGTGAAAAACTACCTTGCCCAGCCCCCGTGACAACAACAATAACAGTCAACGATCAACCTGGAAATGCAAAGCACAGTGATCCTAAATCAACGCTAACCGATTTCTGGCGGAGAAAAATTCCAAGATCAAAGTCTCAGCGAAATATTAGTGTACCATCTGAATTAGCCAGCGGCTGCCGAGACACACAAGACTTTTCTACTCCTAAAACGGATTACAGAACAATAGAAAAATTTACCCCTCTGGGAAGAAGAGCATCCTTTCCTTAAACGGCTATGGATTTTGAATCCGCTCTCAGGTCGTCCCGCGGAACAAGGTTGGAGAAGGTCCAATGATGAAAAGCACTCGGATTCTAAATAACAATTGAAAGAAGATTCGCTCAAACAAATTTTAAGGTCAACGTCTGAAGATCTGCATGTGTCAATGGAATTGTCTAACTGCTGCCAAATCGCTCGCAATTGAAACGGAGTACAACTTAAAATGGGAGACAAATATCTTTGAGAAGAACAATATCCTTCTCAAATATGGCTGTGGTGTTGAAGTAGGCTCTTTGATCGTTCAAGGGATCAATGCACTTATGATCCAGTTCGGCTCCATTTGTCGATACATGCAGTACTCGGCCGACAAGGTCGACAACGATCGCCTTCCACCTTTGTAATAACGGCAGCGGTTCACGAAAGATAAAGAGCAGTATTTTCTAAATGGTAACCTAAGAGCAGCACAAAAAATTTCAAGCACAAATAATTTTCTAGTTTGCAAACTTGAGCAGATACACATGCGGTTTCGAGCAACCATTTCAGCAGAGTCTCGGATTCCAGCCAATAAATCGTCGCCGAAGGAAAATTTATGTGGAAAATACATGAGTTACATGTTTCTCTTAACATTATTTAATTTCGATGGATGTAAGTGACTTTGAAATGGCACAGACAAATATCTTCACGAACCTAACAAAACTGATTCCAACTCTTGCCTAGAGAACGGACTTTTGTTGGATATCTATAAGGAAGATTTTAGACCCAGTAACGGCAGCTTGGTTGCAATCTTAATGTAGGCTTTTTATCGAAATTTTCAACTAATACCTTTCCTAAATGACAAAGGAAAACGACAAAGCAGTAAAATAACATAGGGATATCTGTGTATTCTCACTGATTTCATTTTACGGTAACAGAAACGTTGGAAAATATGTGCAAATTTCCATATACTTTATAAGAAATGTAGTAATGTTTAAGTTTTGCTTGATTTTTTTTTTGAGATAGTTTGCTTGAAAATTTCCGCTTCTGTTGATTTTTTGAGGAAACAAAGGAAACTGTAAGCAGACTATTTTTCAAATAAAACCGTGGGCGGACTAATAAAACAAATAACAGGAAATAATGACATGAAAGGAAAAAAAAATCTTGGCAAAGAAAAGGTGAACCAGCAGAATTAGACAAAAAAGCGAAAACATAAAAGGAAAGATCAGTGGGTAGGATATAGTGAAGGTGAATCAAACCAAAAACAAAAACGAGGAAATGGAAAAAAAAAACTGTAAAACATTGGCGGAGGAAACTTGTAAAAGTTGAAAAGAAAAGTGCGCAGATCAAACTTAAAATTGCTGTTGTTTCATAAGAGCAATAACAAAAAATATGGGGAAATTAATCTAAAAAACTACATGGGGTGGAAAACAATCAAAAGTTTCAAGAGAACCTGCACAAAAAAAAGGGGAAGGGCAGTGTCCAGGAAAAAGTAGGGCGGACTACAGTGATAACACACGATTAATGGAAGATAAAAGCAAAAACAGGGAAGTAAATTACCTTGATAGAGAAAACTTAATTGACACGTGGAAAAAAAAGTAATGAAGCAGAGCAAACTGAAAAATTAAAACCAATCAGACAGAAGAAAAAACCTGGGCTGAGAAAATAGGAAATGAATGAATCACAAAAACTCAAGAGGTTTCCTTCTTGAAAGGAAAAGAACGTTTAGCTCGATTTAACAGAAAAAAAAAACACTCTGCCCTGGAAAAAAAGGAAGTTTGCCTGAAAATATGAATTTCTGTTGTATTTCCTTTTGCGTCACTGAAAAATTTTATTTCAAACCTAACTAGCGACAAGAGTATACATTATTCATCACAGTGCTGCGATGAGAGCGCTTTTCCCTTTAGATGAGTTTATGAAAATAGCATAGTTTGTAAATGCTAAAGCTGTGGAGCAAAAGAAGCATAAATTATCGGTTTGTACGTTTTGTGTTTCGAAACATGAAAGGCAAAGCTGAAAGCTGACTATGATGTCACTTCTTTCCTATATATTGAAAGCTCTCCACAAATAGCGTTTGTGGACATTATTAGGATTTGGAATATCAACAGTGTTACATTTATCAAGTTTGTCATGAGGAAGAAAGTTGGGAGTCAAAAGTAGAACATAGAGGTAGATATTTCAAACTGCTTTAGCTTAGATTCTAATGTAAAGTATAACCGCGGGCTCTCCAGTTGAGAAACAAATAATTTACCAGGTATAAGATTGCGAATAACGTCAGAAACATTGTTTTCTCTGACTTGCCTGCGTATTTTCTGACATTTAGGAAATTAAAAAGGCATCATAAGGACTGAATACAATAATTAAGCAGACTTATTTCTCATTGAAGACAGGCTATTATTTCAAACGCTAGAAAGCCTTCATTCTAATTGCCAAGTAAGTATATGTGTTTCACATTGAATTATTTTGATCTTTTCCGGAGAAAAATAAGTATTTGCCAAAGAATGAATATAGTTTTAGCACATTTACTTACCTCAGAACCCTCTCTTTTTCTTTTGGTTTATAGCCTTGTTTATCTTGTCATGTCTTGCTTTGGTGACAAGTTTTCGAAAACTTCCGCACAGTTGTGTCGCGCCTTCTAGGGCCTGTTCAAGGGTTCGTCTTGTGTTCAGACTGTATATTACACATTGACCTGGCTTCTTGTTTTGCAGATGAACTAGATTAAGTTCGAATGTTTCTCAACTATTTAAATTTGTAAACTACATTTATTGCCTTCTTATATGGCAAAATCCTTGGAAGTCGAGTCGCTCATAGCACCTCGAGATGGAACCTCGCGGCAAAATTTTCCCGCTCTTTTAAAAGCGTGATTCCATACAAGGAATATTCGTCCCAGGTCATTTTGAACGATTCCGATTTCCGATTTCGACAACCCAGCTTGGAAGATCTCCCATGGCTTAGAGGATCTCCCACGCTTTAGGGAGGTGTAAGGTTGGTAATGCGTTGGATTGGTAGGCGAGACCTCATGGCTTCCAGAGTTTCTTAGTTTCTTTTCATGCATGAAAAAAAAATGCCATACAGCCCAGTCCATACAACAGGGTAACATGATAAAATTCATGAAAAGGGTAGGCTGCCACGGCAAAGTTTAAATTGCTTTGTTTTCGTTCTAATAATATACATGCAAAAATTTCAGCATGCTTATTGACCGAGAACAAGCCAATTGATCCCTAACGGTGCAGAAAGTTGAAATGAAATTGATTGACAGGTAAGTGGCGAAAGTACAACAAAATTAAATGGCAGATAGGTTCGGAGAAAGTAACAACGTTTTAATTAAGAGTTTTAGGGAGAATAAAAAGAACAAAAACGCCCAACAAGGCAAAAACAACTTGCTAAAACTCTGGAAGTCTGAGGCTCCCAACATCGACTATAAAAGTATTCATAACGTTCACTATCAGCGAGGTACTTAAACGGCAATTCATCTTGTTTTGCGAACGATCCAAGAAACCTAAGCAACCTTTTCTACCTTATTAGCTTCATGATCAATATTTATCCGCTGGCGACTATGGGATTCGAAATCAGCTCTCAGGAGGTGGATTTTCTCATGAATTATTACTCTATTAGGACCATTCCATGATTAGAAACAATAAAACTGAATCAAGAATACTTTCAAAAACTTGACTTTGTATTTCAGTTGTATGTGGATCAATATTGCTGATGTTTTCGTACTTTTCTTTCCCGGAAATCTATTTTTAAATCAGTTTCGTTTTGAAAGCCACTAGGCCAATTTGAGGTGCCGTTGGAACAAGTTTGTTCGTTTCGGTTCTTCTTTGCCAAGAATAAATTGGTTTTGGTTTTTCTAAACTTACAACGAAATTTTGTGCACAAAAGGTAGCTAAAGCTGTTTCCTGTATTTTAAGTTTGTGCCGAGAAAATTTGGTTTTTTGTTAGTATGTTATGCATGGATAGGTCTCCATTTCTGGGAAGATCACAACGATAAAAGCTGTTATTTGTATGCAAGCATTAATCGAAAGCGTTGAAGTGGTGGAAGGCAATGTTAACGACAGATTCTTGTTCCAAAACCGAAAACACTTTCAATAGAAGCATTACGAGACCACAAAATAACTAAAGGCTTGAAAATTCGTATTGACTTTCCGAGTAGTTCAGAACAGAAAGATAAAAGGTAGAAAGAGAATTTGAATTGATATGCAGGCTTAGGCAATCCTTTTATTGTTTATAAATACGGAAAATGTTGTGTGATTCTTGGAAATCTTGCGCAATACAAATATGACACGAATGAGTGTATGTCCGCGTGTAGCTGGATAATTCTGCAATATGGTGATCAGTTTTATTTCAAAAATCCTTGCATTTGCTTTGTAGATGTAACGTATTTTGAGAACTGAGTGTTCCAGCAAAGTATTGCCAAACCGAAAATTCTCAAAGCGAACAAAAGTTGACAATTCTTGGAAATGCCGAACTAAAATTTCTCAACGTCAACAAAAGTTGATAACTCTTGGAAATCCAAACTAACTCCAATAAAAATTAATAACTCTTGGAAATCCAAACTAAAATTTGTTAACTCCAATACAAGTTGATAATTCTTGGAAATCCACGCTAAAATTTTTCAACCTCAACAAAAGTTGATTACTCTGGAAACACCAAGTTAAAATTTCTTAACATCAACAAAAGTAGTCAATTCTCAGAAATTCTAGTTGAGTCTTACATAGCGAGCGTAGCATATCATATCGATGATATTTTGAATAAAAATTCTCCATTCAAGGTGTTACGAACAGCAATTTCCGGTGTGTGAATACTGCAAGAAACCAATACGTGATGGCGAGGAAGAGGTCGACAACTGTCACAAGAAGCCGTAAGTAAATCCTCCTTCGCTATGATCTTCTTCCCTCGCAGGACCATGGGAACGAGATTGATATTGTGTTAGGTGAAATAGTCTGTTCGAAAGACAAGAGGCCCATCTTGTGGATACTTGTATACTTTTCCCGACTTCCCTTGGGCAACAAAATCGCTTTATTAATATTTATTTCATGTTTAGATGCTACAGCGACAAGACCGGGAGGTGTTGCGAATGTGGTGCCATAACTAGCCGAGGTTCTTATTGCAAAAGGTATGTAGCCGAAACAAACTGTGAACACCGAAACTATTTGTGGAATGTTATAGGAAAAAGGCGACCATTTTCGAGAAGGCTAAATCGCGAAGGATATCGTTATTTGTTCGATTCTTTTTGCCAGGTTTGCTTCCATAACGTTATTGCAATAAGTCAGAACAAGATTATCCAGTTAGTAGCAAATGAGAATGTTTACGGAGACTTAATGACAAATACAGCAAATGCATAAGATCTTAACCTTTGTCGCGAAATGAAAAAAAATGCACCGAACTTTCCTTGTTGTTTAGTTTTCTACCACCCAGGCTACGCAAAACTTGTTGAAGAAAATGGCCATGTGGCTTTAGTGGTCCATATGTAACGATCGTCTTGCATACTGCCAGAATAGGCGATATGAAGAGCCATGCACGTTGTTTCAATTGTCTTCTTTTAGACTGTGAGCAGTCTCTATTTCTCCAAATCTCAAAAATGCTCAGCCACTTCCTTCCTACACGTGAGATCCCGAAAGACGGAAAGCAAACATTAGCCATCCTATTGGGTAGTTACTGTACTGATACAAAACTGAAAGGAATGTTGGAATAGCTCATCAATTATTGACTGACATCATAATTCAGTATCGTCGACAATTAATACTTGACCAATAGTGCGTTCTATAAATGTCCAGGTGAGTTACAGAGGTTATTGTGGATTACATGGCTTATACCTTGGTCACTTAAAACTTTCGCCTCCTCCTCAACCAATCGCATGGAAACCTAACACAATTCCGACTAGGACACTTGTATTCACAACCCCGCCCATTTTCCGTGGCTCCATACTTTGCTGTAATCAGTTGTTGATTGGAGCTGCTATTGAACATTCTTATCTTTATTTTACGACGCTTGGTTAAAGATCGATCATTATAAAGTTACCCCACTCACTCCCCTTTTTCTTACCTGGTTCTAAATATACTTGCAGTTGCTATGACCTAAAGTACCCACCGCCTCTCAGAGCTGAAGTATTGGTGGCAGGAGTGAACTTGAAACTTCGTTCAAGGACGGAAGTGAATCAGAAAATGATTGAATCAGCCAAGTGAGTCAGGGAGGTTATTGGGGATTACATGACTTGTTCTTTGGTCACGGAAACTTGCGCCAATCTCACAACCAATCACATGGAAACCCAAGACAATAGCGACTCGGACACTTGCGTTCACAGTTCCGTCCGTTTTCCATGGTTCCGTGTGGAATTTTGTTTTGCTTTAATCAGCTGTTGCAAGAGAAAACAATGTCCCATTATTTTCTCTCGGCTGTTGTGAATATTTTGATCTTAAGTTGAAGTTCGGTCATTTTAAAGTTATCCTATTCGCAACTCTTTTGCTTCAATGGCTCTAAATATAACTGCAAGTAGATTTTACTGCCACCATCGGAGAAAGACAAGATCCAGGAAACTTCTGCTAGGAATCAACGACGCGGGTACTCACTGGCATTCTTTTTCGCTGATGTCATCTCCTCTGTATTATTTAACTTCCTCGACTTGCTACACGTTCTTTTTCAGTTTCTTCGTCTTGCTCTTTAAGCTTTTGACCTCTCTGTCTTATCTACTTACTGCCTCTTCAATGTTAGCTATTTTTGTATGCATCTCATTGAGTTGAGACTCGATAATATTAAGCTTTCCTAGTTTTCCGCCATGTTGAGAGCTTCGAATACTTCGTACTACTTCGTGCCTAAATTTGCATAATGGCGGGTAAAACCTTGCTCGCTCTCTCGATTTGTATTTATGGATTCTACGTTTTACTATCGCCCAATTTTACAAATTCAGTTGACAACGATTTGGATAAAACGACAATGCTTATGCATAAAGATCGTCAAACTTTCTCTAATGCCAAGAACACCGAAAACAGCTACTCGTTTTCTGCTCAAGCCAACAGACTCGCCAAGGCTTCGAGCGTGAGTTGCTAGTACATCATCCAAACTATGGAAGTGAAATTAATTTTGAAAGAGAAGTATCTTCGAAGGAGACTTGCTTTTACTCCTACTTCTACTGCGACATTTAATCCAATTATCTACCATTTGGAACTGTCACTACAGCCCCTAACTGGAAATTACGCTGCTCACTGCTACTTTGGAAACACTAAAAATGGCTCCCGAGCGAGCACAACGTTAGCAATGGACGATGATTTCGATCCGATCACTGTGTTCAATCTGCAAAAAAAAAAAGGACTGCAAATTGTGCAGCTTAACACAAGATCAATCACAAACAAATTAGACCAGATCAGACTGATGATGCACAAGAAATCTATCGAAATCTTGGCCATCAGGGAGAGCTGGTCTGATAATTCCTGGACAAACAATGAACTTATCATCAAGGGATACAATCTCTTTCGTACAGATCGGAAAACAGCTTAAGGTGGTGGAATTTTTGTTTACACCCACAACTCACTTTTTGCTGAAAGAAGGAGTGACTTAGAATCAGAGCAAATTGAACAAATCAGTATAGAATTTAAACAATTCCGATGTGCTCCGATACTACTCTCTTGTTTTTATCGTCCTCCTGACTTTACTGTCTCTTTCTTCGATAGCCTCGCAAATATTGTGAACTCTATTGCCGCTGAAAACAAAGAAGTTCACATTGTCGTTGATTGTAACGTTGATCTGATCAAGAAATCCACAAGCGAATCAAAGTAAATACTTCATTTAATGGAATATCAAGGTTTTCGGGAAATGGTTGAGACTCCAACTCACATCACTGAAAACTAGAGTACTCTTATTGATCTCCACTACTACTTTTATCCTAAGCACATCTTAAGTATAACATCACCAGCTTTTGGGCTCAGCGATCACAACCCTACTATTTTGGTTGGCAAACAAAATACAAATTATTGTTATTACTATTTGTAGATAGGCTTTTTATCACTATTGTTGTAATTTATCATTATCAATTTTGTTTTTAGAGGGCCATTAGGGAGAATACTTTTCAAAGTAATTGGTGTCACCCTCTTAAAGTAAAGGTTATACTGTTATACTAGTAACATTCAGCTCTCGATCGTTTTTTCGTCCGGAGAATCTTTGCACTCCGTGGATGATGACGATGAAGATGATGGTCTATCCAATTATTGCTTTGGAGGCATGAAAGATCTTCAATTAGGGGTTTAAAAGCAACCAAAGAGAAGAAGCTCGGCGTTAAACTTAAACTTAAGGGGTGTTTGAAGATTGAATGATAATTATTTTACTTAAAACGTACAATGCTTTACATTTTAAAAAAATTTCGCTTCATCATGTCTTAGAATGATCGTTTCTTAATATCCAAGATGGCGAATGCAACAGTATATGGCGGATTCAAGATGGCGTACGGATGTTAATGAAGATATGTTGTCAATGTGGTGATGGCAACTAACTTAACTATTGGCTGTGAATCTGTTATTATTTTCTACTTCCTTGTGGTGAAAATCTTGCGAGATCAGACAATACACAAAAACATTTCAAAATTTTATGCTTTTACCTAAGTATATTTTAGCGTTGTCTTGGGAAAACATAGGCATGCGTAGCATGCAAGAGTTATTTTTTCGGCTGGGCGGGTTGGGATGGGACACTTTGTCTACCAAATGTTTTTGTAACACAAAAAGAGCATAACCTTCAAACGGACGAAAATATCGCATTACTCCACCTTAAGGGAAAGAAAAAAAACTAATTTATCTGAACTCACACAGATATTTTGTGGTCTATTGTCTAAATACTTCTAGCCAAAAATATAATGCATCGGTGCCAAACATGCCGTTGTTTCCCTCGCAGCCGTTGTTTGGTCTCGTCACACAACCATATATATCTCTGGTTGGAGAGAGAGCGCGTTGAATTATGAGACCAAATAACGGTTGCGAAAGAGACTGAGAGGACTCCTTGATTGGTTGTTGCCTATCTGAACTTTGCCCTCTGTGAATGAAATACGCAATAAAAAGCAGGTTGTTTGCAAGGCGGAATCAACACGCGATTGGATTAATTCCAAAGTAGCTAAAATCCAATTTTGTTCGTAGAAAAAGTCAAAACGCGGGAGAATTGCGTGGAAAATTTACCATTAGCAGCATTTAGTTCGGTGCGAATTTTTTTTTCAGTGGGTAGGACAATGCGGTTAGAGTATGTGATTAAATGCGAGTTGTTTACAAGGAAATGGCATGTGATGAAGCGGTCTAATTTGGCAAAATGGAATTTGATTGGTGGAATACAATTCAAGCACGTGAAAAATTGCCTGATGTTCATGAAGTGCAAAGATTGGGTATGTTCTGATTGGACTTTAGACGTTGTTTTCATAGTACGTGATGGAATGCAAGTTCTTTAAGGGGTGAGTGGTGGAGTAGAAGAGCGGAAAAAACACGGTTTAACTTAAAAATGATGTAAAAAGGTTGAATGCGAACTTTTCATACGCCGATAAATCTCGACCTTAATCGACGAGGCTCTCACGAAGGTCACAAACCATTACAATCATCAAAATTAGCCCAAAATGTAGAGTAAATGTCATTATTTGTGCAAAGCTCCCTGATTCCATGACATCATTCGAAAGAAAGCTGTGATATGATTGGTGCGGGATACATAACCTAAACGCTGTGATTGGTGCACGATATCCAAATGCAGTGATATAATTGATGCGAGATACATACCCAAATGCGGCGATCTGATAGGTGCGGGCAAGATACCACTCTACACACTACCAAAAAAAACTAAAAAAAAAGAAAAAAAAAACCAAAATTGTTGAAATTCAAATAATTTTGAACTCAGAAGTTAAAAATCTCATCTGATAGAAACCTCAATTATTTTCATACATAAAGTACCCTTAAAGAATGCTTAACGTGCTTGCAAAGAATATTGTTAGAAAGTTGTTGTTTGTTTCTTGTCAATTCTGTAGAAAGGAGTGACGTCACTTGATCACGTGGTAATACCTGTTCAGCTACTCAGTAGGGACTACTATAAAACATAATATTTAACTAGAGTAATTGCAGTTTTCAAAAATGCATGGTAGCATTACTCCCCCCAAGTGGTACAGAAAGGTCATTTTAGGGGGTCCTAGCCAATCATGAATGGAATGTAGGCATAATTCCTTAATTCAAGAAGGTCCGTTCTTCGTCCTTTCAATCGTAGGATTGGGTACGAATCAGCCTCGTACTCATTTTATTGGCAGGTGTTGGTGTCGTCTGAAAGTTTTATTTCAGCTCGAACTGAGAAGATACGAGACTAACAGCGTTTTGGTTAAACTGGACTTTTAAGATCATGGGAAACTCCGTTTGTGGGTGTGGACAGCCGGTAAACGAAGGAATATACTGCAAAGGGTTTGTGGATTTTACTTTTATCCTTCTTTGAGCGACATTTTAGGAGAATTCTCTCTCGGAAATCTATTATTAATTTAGTTTTGTGTTAAGAGCCGCTAGGCCAGTTTGAGGTGCGGTTGGAACAAGTTTGTTCGTTTCAGTTCTTCTTTGCCAGTAAAAATCAAGTTTTGGTATTTCTAAACTTACAACGAAAGTTTGTGTACAAAAGGTAGCTAAAACTGCTTCCTGTATTTTAAGTTTGCACCGAAAAAATTCGTACGTACGTTATGCACGGATAGTTTTCCGCCATTTCTAAAAAGTAGTGGAAGGCGACGTTAATGACAGATTCTAGTTCTTCACTAGAATCATTGCGAGCGAGCCATTTTTTTCGTTTCGAAACTGGAGGATTTAAGTATCGAAACAACAAAATTGAACTAAAGGGGTTGAAAATTCTTTTTGAGACACTCTCATGACTTTCAGTGGTTAAAAACAGAAAGATATAAGCTGGAAAGAGAATTTGAATTGATATGCGAACATAGGTAATACAGTTAATGTTTACAAACACGGAAAATATGTGTGATTCTCGGAAATCTTGTGCAATAGAAATATCATTGAAACGAATAAGCTTATGTCCGTGTAGCTGGAAAATTCTGCAATATGGTGATCAGTTTTATTGCTAAAAACCTTGCATTTGCTTTGCATATGTAGCCTAGTTTGAGAACTTAGTGTTCCAGCAAAGTATTGCCAAACCGAAAATTGTGAAAGCGAACAAAAGTTGATAATTCTTGGAAATGCCGAACTAACTTTCTAAGCGTCAACAAAACTTGATTATTCTTGGTAATCCAAATAGAATTGCATAATTTAAAAAAATCTCGCGTTCTGATTGGTCAACGATGCGAAGTATTTAGCATGGGACTACGTGTTGAAAACGAAGCTAAGTGATGTTTTGTTCGCATCTACGTAAATACAACAACTATCGTCAAATTGTAACAAAGTTCTCTACAATGTCATTTTAAAGTGTTTTCAAAACCATTGTCACCTTTGAAGAGCCAAAAACAAGCAAAGCGTTTTTCAAAGCGAGCCAGAAGTTCTCTCCGTTTTGAAATAAACTACAAATTCTTGAAGACGCATAAAAAACCTCTTTTGCTCGCGACAACGAGAAAGCGAGAAAATCCTGTGAACACGGCCCAGAAAATGGCAAGCAAAAGTTCAATCATACAAGACGAAGAAGCTGAGCGACAACGGAAGAGGTGCTAGAGTCGACTGTCATATATGCAAAAGAAGAAATAAATACCTTTACTCACGATGTTAAACTTTCAGTGCTTTTGCTTGGACACTTCATTTCTTTCAGTTTGCCACCAAAAAGGTAAAAGGTACAAATTATTTTCCTTGAAAACCGGTAAGCGATTAGTGCGGTATCGGTTTTCGCGTGCAATTTAACGCGGAATTCTCTCGTCAGGTAATGAATTTTCCTATAAAACTTTTTAACATCAATAAAAGTTGATAACTCTTGAAAATACAAACTAAAATTTTCAACTTCAACAAAAGCTGATAACTCTTGGAAGTACCAAGATAAAATTTTTGAACGTCAACAAAAGTTGTAAATTCTTGCAAATTACACGCCAGTCTAACATAGCGAGCGTAGCATATCATCTAATTTAGGAAGTCGAGGGGAGAGAGAAAATTTCGTTAGTCTTTGTAAAATATCAGTTTTCCTACTCGAAAATATCGCAGGCGATTCAAGATTTCCAGATGAAAATGACTGAGAGTCTCCCTCGCAACAGTTCTGTGGGTTATTACGCACCTCTTACCCGGACACTAACCCTAATTCATTTAGGGGAGCGTAGTATGACATCCCAAGTTTCGAATCACCTTTGTACAAATTCTTTACTCCAGGTGTTACGATCGGCAGTTTCCAGTGTGTGAATACTGCAAAAAGCCAATACGTCCAGGCGAGGAAATTTTCGGCAATTGTCACAAGAATCCGTAAGTAAATCTTCCTTCGCTGTGGTGTATCTTCTTCCCTCGCAGGACCGTGGGAACGAGATTGAGTGAAATAATCTGTACATGAGAAGTATGAGACAAGTAGCCCACGTTGTGAACACTTCTCCCAACTTCGCATGGGCAACAAAGTCACTTTTTGAATATTTATTTAATGTTTAGATGCTACAACAACAAGACCAAGAGGTGTTGCGAATGTAATGCAATAGCTACCAACAAGTCTTATTGCCAAAGGTATGTATCCGAAACTCAACAAACCATGAACACCAAAACTATTTATGGAATGTTATAGGAGAAAGGTGACCATTCGCGAGAAAACTTAATCACGAACGGTAACGGTAATTATTTCGAGATTTTTTGCGGGTTTGTTTGCGTAACTTTATTGCAATT